GAATAGAACAACATCAAGTCCAAGGTCATTCTGAGCACCGTTGCAGAATGCACTCCCTCACCTCCTGCCCAGCTCACTGGCAGCACAGGATCACACACAGGTACAAACCATCCCCACCAGGGCCTGGGCTGCCACCATGCCAGTGTGGCAGACATCTTTTTATGAAAATCCTTTCCGTAGGATTTTTCCTCCTGAGAAGCTGAGAGGCATCAGGAACAAAATGTAAACAATGATTGTCTGCTGCTGAGGAATGCAACGGGTGGATTTTTGATTGATCCACGTGGATGTTTGGAATTAATGGCCAATCACAGTCAGCTGGCTCAGACTTTCTGTCTGAGCCACAAACCTTTGTTATTCATTCCTTTCTATTCTTAGCTTAGCCAGCCTTCCGAGAGGAAACCTTTTCTTCTATTCTTTTAGTAAAGTTTTAATGTAATATATATAATAAAATAAAAAATCAAGCCTTCTGAAATATGGAGTCAGATCCTCATCTCTTCCCTCATCCTCAGACCTCTGTGAACACTGTCACATGCCAGGACCTTCTGTCACTCCCCATCTGCTCTGTCTGGGGCAGTTCACTCCATGCAACACCAAGGACCTGGCCCAGCCCTTCCCCAGTGCTTTTCCTCCTCTTCCATTGCTCTGTTTCACCATTAGTTTAATTCTCCATATTCTAGGGGTGTAGAGCAAGAGAACGGACACAGGTGACAGTGCCAGCAAAGCCAAGGAGGTGTCACTGCCACACATCTGCCCAGAGCTCAGCAAAGCTGGACTGAGCAGAGGATGGGGAAAACTAAGGACCATGAGGGTGCAAAAAGGAGCCCAGGTCCCCCCCAGCACAGGGGACACTCACCACGAGCAACAGCAGGCTCTGGAATCCATGAGCAGAGTGGAAATACAGAGCATTTGGGGCACTCCCTGCTCAGGGTATCCCCATTCACTGCCTTCCCAAGGACCACACAGACAGAAAAACCACCAAGATCTGATTGATTTGAAAATACATTAACCATAGAGAATAGAGATTTAATTTTTTTTCTTTCTCAACAACAATAAGGAACAGTTTACATTAAAAAAAAAAAATCCAAAAGCATGAATAAAATAATATAAAACAGATATTATACCACAGTGTGGAATTCAGATAATCTAAGAACATTAGCAGCACTTCTACAAATAGATTAAAAGCTGTTAAGTGCTCATTAAGCTCAGATCGAGCAACTCCCAGAGACCAAAATGGCATCCAACAGAGAAAAGCAGCAATTCTGTGTAGGGCAACAGAAAAGTCTAATGCCAGGACACCAGATACATTCAAATCCCTGTGCTGAGGGGTAATTCCCTGTCCCACAGAGCCCCCACGATGGCTGTCACACCCTGCTGCCCTGCCTGGCTCTCCAGAACACTCCTGGAACAAGGGAAGTCACAATCGTGGGTCTGAGGTTACATCCACGTTGCATTTTCAAAGCTTTTCATCAATTCTGTTTGGGAAAACAATTTCTTCCCTGGCTTCTGGGAATTGCTCTCCAGAGAGAATGAATTTCTGGGAATTTTAAGTCAATCTTACTTAATCACAACAATGACATTTTTAGTCTCTCAGTATCCAGGATCAGGATTTTCAATTCTTTATCATCCTTAGCAGCAAAGCCATACTCATTCCTAAAACTTCCATGTATTTAAGATCCTGTGCATAGTTAATTTATAAAAAATAAATTAAAATGGTGTTTTTCTCCCCTCATCAAAGCACTGATGCAAAGTGCCCTTGGTCCCAGTCATGTCCCACTGCTCATGGCTCAGGAGCCACCATGGAGAAGGGACTGTCCCCTGCAGCACCATCCATGGGCTCTCCATGTGCAAAACCCATCTATAAAAGGAAGCTATTAAACTACTGAACAGGAATTTAAGGTGGAATATGCACCAATCCAAAATTAAATTAGAAATTAGATTAGATTAGACACATTAAAAGACTTCCATGGCTATTCCAACCACATACATTCTCCAGGAAGTTCAGGATTCAGGCAAAGTTGGGAAGGAATCCACACACTGAGCTGTGTGAATGTGTGGCCATGGCCCACGTGGCCACCAGAGGACAGAAATGTGGTCGCACTGAGACCCACAATTGTTTAGATGTCTTAATCAATGAAATATTGCTTATTCAGGGCAATGAGGATGCTGACCTTGAGTGGAAAAGCAGGAACAATCAGTGGCGTTTGATCTACTTCAGGGCATCTGAAAAAGCTTTTACAGGAGTTTCTGACACAGGTTCTGGTGAGTTCCAACCCTTCCATAGTGCTGGAACTCCATGTCTACATTGTGCTCTATCAGTTTGTGCTCACACAATAGTAAAATGCTGAAGACAAGCCCAGAACTGCTCAGTACTCAGGGAAATTCCCAAATAGAATGAGAAATAAGGTTTTGATGACATGATCATCATTTTGGTCCTACTGATCAAAGGCTCAGAGGCTTCCACTGTGCCTCTCGAGAAAAGGGATTTAAATATTTTAAGATATTTCAAAAGCAAACTTAGGGGATGAGAATCCCAAAACTAAAAGGGATTTAGATATTGTAAGGTATTTCAGAAGCTAACTTAGGGGATGAGAACCCCAAAACTGGTCCCATCCCTGGTCAGAGGCCCATTGGTTACTGTGGCTCCCAGTGCAGGGGACCTCAGGAAAATCCAGGAAAGAGAGGGGAAACAGGCAAAATAAGTAATAAATAAATAAATAAAAAACAAAGAATAATAAGAACTCCATCCCACAAACTGCTCTTGGCCACGAGGCTTGTGTCTCCAGGGATTTTGGGACCCATCTCTTCAATAGTTCCATCTCTCAGCCTTTTTTCCACCTGTCAGTGACACCTGCAGTTCCACTGCTGGCTCACATTGCACTACCAGGTGCATTTGGATGAGTTAAGGGATGTTCCCCATGCCAGGGGCTGGATGAGAGCAGGACTGGGACACAGCAGGAAGTTCCCCACAAAAAAAAAAACCCAAAAATCTCTCAGTCTTCATGAAAAACATCCACAGCAAAGCCACTCAGGGACTCAACACAGCAAGAGAAAAATCTCCTATGAAAATCACACATTTAGGAACAAACACAACTTCTAAAGGGTCTGACACCAAAAGAGATGAGTACCAGGAGCTCATTGGAAGGTTGCAAGAGCAGAAAGCTCAAATGCAGGAAGAGAATTCATTTGAGGAACACAAGGCCAGGACACAAACACTCGGTGGATTTACACACACTGAGGTTACCTGAGCTCAGCACAAACCCCACAGCAACGTGGGTGCTCAGTGAGGGTGAGATGGGAGCTGAACTCAGCCCATGGAGCCCATCCTTCCTTCCTTCCTCAGGCTCAGTTTGGAGTGACTGGAGCAGAGAATGTGGGCTGGCAGCTCATGTCACCCTTGCAGCAATCTCCTCAGAAGGTGCGGAGTTATGGAATGCTTTGGGTTGGAAGGAAACTTAAGAGATCACCCAATTCAAACCCCGGCCATGGGTAGGGACACCTTCCACTATCCCAGGTTGCTCCAAGCCCTGTCCAACCTGGCCTGGGACACTTCCAAGGGTGTGCCAGTGCCTTGTAGTGCAGAATTTCTCCCTAAATCCAATCCAACCCTGCCTTCTGTCAGTTCAAGGCACAGAGCTCCAGTCCCTGTTCCCACAGGCTAAAAGAGTCCTGGGCTGGCAGTGCCATTGTGGGGGGGATTTCAGCAGCACAGAGCTGCTGGGATGAGACATTTCTCCTCCCCAAGGGGCCAGACAAGATTACTGTATATGGCCAAGCCTGGTGACAGGCCTCCCCTGTGTGGCAAACAGGCCATCCCGGGCTGCACAGCTGGGAGAGATCCCTGCTGGCTCCCAGCACCACGATTCCCCTGTCAGAATGCCAGAACAAGGCTTTATCTCATGGGGATCCTGCAGGGGGGCAGAGAAGGAGCCCAGAGAAGACCCACAAACAGCTGCACAGCAAAACCTTTGCTTTTCAGCTTCTCAGCAGCTTTTAAGCATCAAAGAGAGCCCCAGACTCCTGGTGGGGTCTCACTGTGGGTCCCCACAAGCACAAGAATTGCCCAGCAATACAGCTGAAACAAAGCTTTTTAAAATTATTTTTCCCTAATTTTCTTTTCTTCCTCTTGTCCAGTCTTAAAGCCAGAACCAAGATGAAGCCAAACTGAGGTTGTGATGATGACTCTGCTCTGAGCTTCCTGTTGCCCCACCAGAACAACTCTCCCAGCACAGGGACAGTGACAGATTGGCACATCATGGAATAGGTGCTATAGAAACCACACAGTTCTTAGAAGCAAAAGATTTCTCACCCCACACCCCCCCTCATCAAAAAATAACCCACTTAGTTGACATATTTTCTCTCTATTCTGTATATATATTATATATAGACACAATTCTCTGGTAAACATTTACAAGATATCGTAAATAACATGGAAAATTTCTATCTCCATTTGCACAACAGCGCGCACTCACACAGCACACAAGGACACACAGTCAGGTACAATCAATAAATAAATACTTTTTTTCCCTTCCCCCCCAAGAAATTATTCAAAAAAACACTGCTATTGAGCGGCCCAAAGACACTCTCAGTTAATACAGACAGCAAATATTGTGCAGAACTTCTTGGCTGTTTTTGTTTAAAAACCAAGGAAAGAAGCTTGAAAGGTTTAGTGTCAGCAATGTTGCTTGGTCAGGTGGTGTTTAAGGTGACCCTGGCCCTCAGGAAAGGGAGAACAGACACTTCCCTTGCCCTCTAGACAGGTGACAGATCTGTCCTAGAGCCCTGAGGGAGCAGGAGCAGCCTGGAAGGAGGGAGGACACAGCTTTTCACTCTGCTTGGTGGAAAGATGAAAGATTCTCACAGGAACTGGCAGATCTCAAGCTCTTTGTTTCCTGCGCTACTGCAGCCCAGCACCCTTTGGGGTCAGGGAATTCCCCAGATTGTTGTACACATCTGTTGGGATTATGAGGAGTGAAGGGCTGCTCATTGCTCTCCCCCTGCCCCAGCCCCTTCCCCAAAGGGTTCAGGATGTGCCACTGCCTTTTCCAGCTGTGACCTCCATGTCCCAGAACACAGAAAATTGCTGATTTGCTCAGAAACAGCAAACCACTCCACCAGGCTGCTCAGCCCTTCCCTGAAGCAGCAGTTTTTCTCCTGTGCAGGCTGACAACCACCTTTTTTCTGCCAGCAACATCTGACACGTGCCACGAGCCAACACAAACCAGCACAGACGGATGATGCACAGGAGGAGGGAGGAAGGGCCCCTTTCCCTCCTGTGGGAGCACTCCAGCAGCAAGGCAGGAGCAGGGCCAGAGGAGAGCACACACACAGCACACATTGCACCAAGGGGAACACAAAAGTTTGCAGCAAAACTTGAGAGAAAGTACCCTCAGAGAGAGAGCTCCAGCCCAGCACTGCCCTCCTGGTTGGGCTGGACCCTCAATCCACCCACCCACCCCTCTCCTTTTCCTGTATTGTTTTTACCTGAGTTGAAAAATTACTCCGAAGCCTCTGCAGGGCAGCCTGTGTGGGACACAGCAGCTGGAGAGGCACTTCATGCACTGGGCTCCAGGCTGTGCAGGAAAAGTGGCCTGCACACAAGGGCATCTTCCCAAAGCAAAGCCCACTCAGGGACCTTGGGCTATTTTCCTCTCACAGGCCTGTGGGAAAAGCCCACCAAGACCTAACTGGAGATGCTCAGTGGGTTTAGGGGACTCAACAGCCAGGCCTGAAGGTGTCAGAGGGAAAGTCAGGATAATCAGGAGCTCTGACTTGCCTTCTGAGGAGCCCTTCCCTCACAAGAGCTCAGAGGAACAACAAGAGACCAGACTCCTACCACAAGCAGCTAAAGTAAGGCAGGTAAGAAAACCTCCAGCCTGGAGTTCCCAGAGGAGGTCAGGACCAGATTTCCCAGTGTTCAGAGAACATTACAGAGGCTGGATTTTGAAAAATAACCCCAACGCTGAATTTGGAGCTGTTCTGAAAATCCATCCAGACACGAACCTCTTGTGTGCTCAGATATTGTAGGAACAATGTAAAATCCCAGGGAGAAAACAGAGCCCTAAAAAAAGAAAACACTGAAGGGGAAGCAATGCACTGAGGGACAAGATCGAAAGAGGAATTCCTGTGATCCAAGTCCCCCCCATTACTGGCAGAACCTCGCTGTGTTGGTGAGAAGCTGAGCACTGGCAGCATCCCTGTGCTGCCCGGGCTCGCAGGGCTGGCTGCCTTCCCACCCCACAGGGAAGGGCTGCCCAAGGAAGCAGCTTTCCAAGGAATCAGCTCTCCCTCTGTGCCACCAAACTCTGCTCCCCCAGCCCCCGAGCTCCACCCTGGGATGTGGCAATGCCTGGGCAGTTCTGGTGGCCACAGCAGCTGCTCCGAGGCCAGGAAGCCACTGCCTGGTCCTGCTCCAGGCACAGGAACACACCTGGAGGGATCTTTGGTTGAGTCACTGCAGAAGGTCTGAGCCTGGGCCTGTGCTGAGCCCAGGGGACTCCCAGCTCACATAGCAGCACGTGTCCCACCACCTGAGTCCCACAGAGGTGGCACTTGGAGAGACAGGAGAAGGGAGGGAGCGTCGGAGGGGAGTCCTGGCTCTTTGGGTGCCTCGTCTGCTCCAGGTCCTTCATTTGTTCTCAATCAGAGTCTGCACTTTATACACCAGGTCCCGAGCCAGCTTCAGGATCTGCTTGGTGTTGTGGCGCTCGGCCATTTCTGCAACACAGACCAGACAGGTCAGAGCAGAGCAGCCCCCAGCCCCCAGCTCTTCATCCTGTGCTGCCACATTCCCAACCTCCCCTGGCAGGGACACCTGGCTCTGGAGAGCCATCCTGAACCAGCCCAAACTTCAGCTCCCTCCAACACATCTAGGCTGAGGAGAGCAGGTGGATTCCAGCCCCACCAGACCCCTCAGAGCTCTGGGTGTCAAACATTCCCACACCTGAGCAGCTGCCCCAAACTCAGCCCAACAGAGCACGAGCTGTACCATTGAAAAACTTGATGATGTCTGTAAAATCCATGTTGTTCTCCAGGATGATGTCCCGGTACATCTCCACCAGGGCCAGGGCTATGAAGAGCACGTAGTGAGCAGAGGAGACGTGAGCAGCAGCCCAGATGGTCTCCCAGACAGCAAAGACATCGTCATACACCAGCTCTGTGAGCAGAGAACAGCAGTTACCACTCCACTCACCCCACCCTGGCTCACAGAGCTCACAGCAGTGCTGGGGAGACACACTGGGTGCTTCCTTCCCACAGGAACCTGCTCCAGCTGGAAGCAAAGTCAATCATCTGTAAGGAGAAATATTCTGCCCAGCAGCAGGTGACACAGCCCCAGGACACACTCATGGAAAAGCTCAGCAGCAGCTCTGGAACAACAGGTTCTGTATCTAGACAGAACAATCAGCCAAACATAAACCAGGGAAAAGTGAAAAGGAATTAAAGTTTAAACCTGCTGAGAAGGCTGGAAGCAGACCCTGCCCCACCCTTGGGTGGTCTCAGCACACACCTCTCTTGAAGTCCAGGAGAAACCATCGGTAGCAGAAGTAGAAATGAGTGTAATCCCCATTCTGGTGCATCAGCTCAAAGAGCTCAGAGTCCAGAATCTGTCAAGAAAAGCAAAAGGACACTCAGGAATGCACAAGGCACCAACCATCCCTCTTGCTCTCCTACTGCACCAGCTCCTCCCTCCCACCCTGGCACGCACTGCTCCAGCCCCTGCTGTCCCTCCTGCTCCCCAGCACTGAACCCCCACCCCAGCCCCTCCAGGACCAGCTTTCCCCCCTGGTTATGAGGAGCTGCCATCCCCATGCCAGGAGCTCCCACCTGGATCAGCGACCTCATGTTGGCAAAGTGGGTGTCCATGGCTCCTCCATGTGGAAAGTTCTGGTTCATCCTCTTCATCAGCTCAGTGAAGCAGCTGAAGGCCAGAGCCTCTGTGCAAGGAGGAGAGAATCACTGCAGGGCTGCAGCAGCAACATCCCTCCAGAAAGTCCAGCCTGGCCCCAGGGTGGGCTCCTGGGACAAACAGGATCCTGCCCCACACCTCCAGGCACGAAGGGCCCACCACCCACCTGACATATCCTCCCACAGATCCCCACACAGACGCAGGGAAAGCAGAGCCACGCACTCACCATCATCCAGGATGACCAGGAGAGGGGCCAGCAGGTCACACATGCCCTGCACATAGCCAATCTCAATGTGCTGCCAGATGTAGCTGTGTGAGAGAGGAGAAGAGGTGACCTGGGACCTGAGTGCCACCATCTGTCACCTCCTTTGTGCCCTGTCTCCCTTCCCAGGATGCTGGGGTAAATCACACCTGTTCATTCTGACATCCCTGTGCTGCAAATGATTAAATTCTTGTGTTGCCTCCCAGGTAAGGCAAGCATGGCACAGTCCTGGATCGACACCCTGCCATGGCCACATCCAGGGTCAATCCAGGGCTGTGCCATTGCAGGGCAAATCGGCACAGGAAAAAGCAAAATGGAAAAGCACAGCACAGTGCAGTTGTTGGATAAAGGGCAGAGACTCATAGAATTGTTCATCTCTCATTCTCATCCCTCTCCCTCCATTGATCCCCTTGGTTCTCCCTGCAGACACTGCCTGCCTCCCCTTCCCATGCCCAGCGTCCCAGGAAGCACCCAGCCCTGCAGGGATATCTTCCCTTTTTTGGTAGCAAGGCAAAATGTGTTCAGAGAGGACTCAGATCTGCTGCTGGCACAAGGGAAGGATCTTTTCCATCCTGCCCACTGGTTTTCTAAAATGTGCTGTGCTGAAGGTCTAATCTCAGCAGAGATCTCCAGCTCTGGCTGTCGGGTGAAGTGACAGCACTGATGGAACAGCAGCTTCTCCTCATGTTTGCAAGATGAGTAATAATATTTTAGTCTTTGCTGCCTGTGAAGCAGGAGCTGGTCTGAGCCTGTGAGTGTCACTAGGCAAGCTCTGAGTCACAGGGACTCAGAAATGCACCCAGGTCTGGCTCTCTCCTGGGATTTTGGGCAGGCACAAACCATCCCGGTGCTTCAGGCACTTTCTCATTAGCACCACAGCTCTGTGGGCTGATCCTCATTAAAACATTTGCCAGGCATGCTGCAGGAAGCAGGTGGGCTGCCCTGGTTCCTGGGCAGCCCAGGGAGCCCCTGCCTTGTCCAAAACCCCAGGACACAGCAGTGATGGGGACGGACAGCCGGACACCTCGGTCTGGGAACCGCCGCATCCTTGGTGCTGCAGCCCCAGCGCTGGGTGATGAGGGGAGGAAGGCAAGGAGCAAAACTCCATAACCACAGCACAGTTTGAGGCTCCAGCCTGCAGGTGAATCCCAGGAAGGCCCCCAGAGCCCCCACCTGCACATGACGTTGCGGAGCTTCTCCAGGTTGGCAGGGGTGAAGTACCAGTAGTTGCGGTCACAGCGCTGCACGTCCTTCTCGATGCGGTGCAGGTTCACCGTGTACATATCCAGCAGCTCTGGCTGCCCAAAACAAGAGCAGAGTTGATTTGTTTTCCACTAAAAATCAGGGAGAGAGCTGTAAGGGCAGTGGAGAGACAGGGCAGAGTTTGGGTGGAGGGTGGGAGCCCCTCTATGCCCAATTACAGGATCAGCACAGGGCAAATGCAGGTAAATCCTGCCCCTCCACTCAGCCCCAGTGAGGCACATCTGGAGTGTGGTGTTCAATTCTGGGCTCCACAGCTAAAGAAAGACAAGGAGCTGCCAGAGAGATTATTTGGGGTCTAAAGTATCTCTCTGATGAGGAGAGACTGCAGGACCTGGGCTTGGTCAGTCTGGAGAAGACTGAGAGGGAACCTCATAAATCCATACAAACATCTCAAATCATGTGCCAAAAGGAGAGTGCCCGACTCCTTTCAGTGGTACCAAGTGACAGGACAAGGAGCAACGGCCATAAACTGAAACAAAAGTTCCACCTCAACATGAAAAAAAACTTCTTCCCTTCCAGGTGGAAGAGCCCTGGAACAGCTGCCCAGGGAGTGCATGGAACTTCCCTTTCTGGAGACATCCCAAACTCACCTGGACACAATCCTGTGTCACCTACCCCAGGTGACCCTCCCTTGGCAGGGGATGATCTCCAGAGGTCCCTTCCCACCCCAAACTGCTCTGGGGTGCTGGGGGCAGCCAGAAAGGAACCCCCCATGCCAGGTGTGTACTTACAGAGTAGGTGACCCCCGTGGAGGAGAGAGCAGCTGGTTCACTGCTGGTCAGATCAGTCACAGTCAGAGAGTCCAGCTGTGGGTACAGACTCTCCATCTCTGGCTCCTCAGACAGGTTGTCCTCACTCTCCACCAGGCTCTGCTTCTCAGCCTCGCTGTCTGCCCAGCTCTCCACCACAGTCAGGGCCACAGTGTCACTGTCACGCAGGAGCCCCGCTGAGCCGTCACCCATGGGGACAAAATCCACGCTTCCACCAGGGGGAAATTCCCCTTCCAGGCTGTCTTGGCCCTGCAGCTTCTCCTGCTGGACACCATCCGTGTCTGGTGGGGCTGGCAGGTCGGAGCCAGCAGCCTTTCCCTGGGAGCTGGATGAGGATTTGGTGGTTTCCAGTGCACTGTCCTCGTTGCTGAAGCTGCGCTCTGAGAAGCCCGATGTGATGGAGAAGTTTTGGGAAGAGGGGTGCCCAGAATCAGGGGAACACGTGCCATTGGGGACTGTCCCATTGGGGATCTTGCTTTGCTTGCCATCTTCCAGCTGAGAATCTACTTCAGTCTGTTCCACCTCATCCACAGATTCAAACACCTGCAAAGTGGGAAGACATCCCAAGCATTCAGGAAATGTTGGGAACACGGGCACTACACCCCCCAGTGCTGTGTACTCATAGTGCCTGTGTTCCCAGCAGTGGAGAGGGAGGAAAATCCCTCTTTAGCTTCTTCTGCCTGGATTTGAATCAGTGCTTGGTCGTTTGCACAACTCCAAATCCCTGCTCCAAAGGACTTTGCTTTGCTTGGCATTATATAATGGGCAGAAATTGCAACAGGTGTTAAAATTAAACACCTGGGCATGAACAGAGGGAGCAGCCATGGACCTTCAGGTGTGAGGCCACAGGGCAGAGCTGGCAGGTGAACATGGAACACCCCAAGCAGAGCAGAGATCTGACATTAGCAGCTCCAAAGCAGGTTGGGGACTCATTTACCTCTTCCAGCACTGGTTCTGTTTGCCTGAAATCGCTGTGATTGTGGTGGTGAGGGGTCAGCCCAAGCCAAGACAGACTGTGGGGACAAGGAATGGAGGGACAAGGTGCTCACCTGGGTGCTGGAGCTGGAGTCGCTCTGCAGCCGGGCGTGGTTCTGCCGGCCGGAGCTGCAGCTCTGCGAGGACTGCAGGGGACAGGGGAAAATGAGAAACAAAAGGAAATAAAAGGGGTCAGGGAGAGGAAACTCAAGCAGAGCTGGCACTTCTGCAGGTGAAGAACAAGCAGAAATGCACCCAGTGAATATCTGCCCCATGATTTTCCTGCCACATCCACGGTGCTGCATCACCCAGCACAGTGCCTTGCCTCAGCCCCCCACACTGCTGGGGAGGTGACAAAGGCAAAGCTTTCTCAGGTCAATGCACTTGTTCAAGTGCTGTGTGCTGGGTCTGAAGGAGCTGCTTTCCTCTGGCCTGCACGGAGGTCACGCTGCCTCCCTGGAGTGAGAATTTCTACAAATCTCTGTCCTAATTTGGCAACAATGCAGCTCAGCCCAGCTCCGTTTACATAAACGATGAAGTCAGGCTATAAAACACTGTCTCCAAGCATATTCATGCTTTTTTTCCTTTTCTTCAAGGACAAATATTGATGTCTTAAGCCAGACTCGGTGGAAGCAGCTCCTCTCAAAGTCACGAGCAGCCTGTTCTGGCTTCCAGCTGAAGCACAGAGGGAAGGGCTGGGCTTTGCAGGCACCAGCCTGGCTCTGTGGGGTCACTCTGAGCAACCAGCCCACAATGAGAGCAAGTCCTCCCATTAACTGAGCAGAGGTGCAAGGCATGGCCATGACATCACACACAAACAATAGGATTTTAAGAAAATACAGCACATTCAGAACAGCACTTGTCCCCACCCTTGTATTGTGGGTGTTTGCTGGGCAGGGCTCTGGTGGGGAAAGGAAGGGCGACAGTTTTCCTCCATTACCATGGGAGCACTTAAAACAGGAAATTTCAGGTTGAGATGGGAAAAGGGGGGAACTTTTCGTGTGTTCACTCTGCCAGCTCCCTTCCCACACGTGGGTCCAAAGGAAGAGCCACGGTGGAGATGCTGAGGGGATGGGAATGATTCCCAGGGCTTCAGCCAATGGAGCAGCACCTCTGAGAGCTGCATCATCCAGTTCCACCCTGCCCCTGGCTCAGACCTGCCTTCCCTGCATCTCTCCCTCTCTGGGCACACACATAGCCTGCAGGACTGGGGCTGAGCTCATCTCCTTCCCAAAGCACCCACATAAACTTCCCAGAGGGAAGCAGATCCAATCTCCAGCGCTCACCTCCCCTCTGGGCCAGCAGCCTGAGGTCAGGGAATGCTCTGCCATGCTGGGCTCTTCTCCTCCAAGGACAAAATTCATGGAAACACTCCCTGGACTGTTCCCAGGACTGCCTTTCCTTTCACAGGCTTTTCCCTCCACACCCTTTGGTTTGGGCTGTGGATCTCATTCCTCACTGTATTGCTAAAAGCCAGTCACAAGGTGCAGTGTACTGAGGGTGTGCTGAGGCTTCTTCCATGCTGGAAAAGGAAGCTAGGAAGCCCAGTGCCCAGCTTCACAGCCCCTTAGTGCCATGCTCTTCCTCCTCACCCCTACTCCAAACCATCTTCCACGGAGATAATCCTGAGTATTTCACTTCCACAGAACACAAGACACACAGGTGGGCACAGGTCATGGGCAGGACCTGTGTGTGCACCCCACAGGGACTCTGTGTGGGCACTGCCCAAGCCCTCACCTCGTTGCTGATGGTGGAGTCCCTGTGCATCATCCTCTGGATGTGGGAGTCCAGGCTGGCCCCCGAGGAGCACTTGGCCAGGGCTGCGGCGTGCGACTCCTTCTCGCGCTGCCGGACGATGGCCTCGCAGCCCAGCCACTCTGCCATGGTGTGCTCGTAGCATGCCCGGGTCTGCTCGTCAGCCTGGCACACAGGGGACAGGGGATGGCCATGGCTGTGCCTGGAGAGCCCCAAACCAGCCCAAACTGTGCAATGGCTGTGCCTGGAGAGCCCCAAACCAGCCCCAACTGTGCAATGGCTGTGCCTGGAGAGCCCCAAACCAGCTCCTCCTGTGCCCCACGCAGGGCGGTGAACATTTGTGCGAGCTCATGGGACACAGCCACCCTTACCCTGCACAAAATGTGGTGAAATTTGGATGGAATAACGCCCACCCATCTCCTCCCTGCCCTCCCAAGGTGCACAAGGCACTGAACATGAGGAGATGCACAGGCCAGTGAGGAGCTTGGCCCTATCAATTCCTGCTGATGCAAGGCTTTGTCCCACTCCTACCTACAGCCCAGATGGACATGAGGCCTAGTGGGCTCACAGGGGTGTGATGAGGCTTCTTCCATGCTGGAAAACAGAGCCAGGAAGCCCAATGCCATATTTCACAGCCCTTTAGAGCCAGGAACATGCTCTTCCTCCTCACCCCTACTCCAAACCACGTTCCATGGAGCTAACAGACCTCTGCTCACAGACCCCTCCACTGGGCAGGACCAGTGAGCACACTGAGCTGCGAGCACAGCCTCACCAACCTCCTTCCTCTCTGCCTCCGTCATCCCAAACTGGTAATGGCCCAGCAGGAAGGGCCACACAGCCTTCCTGATCTCGTGCTGGATCCCGCCGTAGTAGATCAGCCGCAGCAGCTCCTGGTCCTCGTAACTCTGTGGGAAGAGCCTGGGTCAGGGCACAGACACAGCCAGGTGTCCCCAGCCTGGCTGTGCCACCCATCAGCACCGCAAGGGATGCCTCAGGTTGTAGCTTTTGTGTTTTTCAGGTTCTGTGCTGCTTTGGTGTGCAGTTCCAAGCTGCATATTAGGGGATGGTAAGGTCTCTTCGCAGAGCAGGGAGACAAAACAATTCCTTCTCTAGCTGGGGACCAAGGACAAATGATCCAAATCTCAGGCCCAAGAACAGAAACAACATGGACTGAAGAGAGAAAAATAGGGATAAGGCTTCATGGGCTAAAGCTGGAATTGGACAATGAACTCCAATATACAAATGGAGCAGAACTGATAAAAGTGAGAGACCCCGTGAGCGGTTGTGCATTCTGTGACCATTTTGGTTCATCTTGGGTGCAGCCCTGGCTGGGCTCTTGTGCTGCCCAAGGTGAATCCATTGAGGCCTTCTGATAAATCCCTACTTTGTTGTTTAGCTCTGTCTAGTCTCTGGTTAGAGAGCCCCCAGCCTCACTGCCCATGATCCCTCAGACCCCTGCCTGGGTTTAAGCAGAGCCAGAGGCTGTGGGTGGACATTTTGGCTTTCCACACCAAAGAGTGGCCCACAAAGTCACCAAAGCACCACTGCTGTGCCCCTGAGGTGGCAGCGCTCAGGACTCCACTCAGGACAGCAGCACCTGTGTGACAGACACTGCTGCAGGCAGGCTCTGAGCAGAAGCACCTGAAGAAGAGCAGTGCTCACTCCTCACCCTCACATGCCAAGGATTAGGAGCCCCAGGCTCTGTGCATGGGACAGCCTGGCTGACTTCCCTCCTTGAGGAACTCCTTGACGTGTTCCACCACCTCCCCACGCTACACCCACTCCAGTGGCACTGCCCTGTGTCCCCAGGGCACGGCCCTACCGAGCTGTCCTGCAGGTATCTGTGCCAGATGTCCACGGTGAGCCCCGCGCTGGCGCTGCAGGGCACATCGGGGGACACGATGTTGTGGTTCACCAGTGCTGACAGGTGGGTCCTCACCGTGGACAGGTGTCTGCAGTAGGCCAGCCCTGCAGCAGGAACACCACACCTTCAGCTGTGCAGCTCCAAGAAACACGAGGATGAAGAGCAGGAGAAAGCAAGGACACCTTTACCCAGCCACATCCAGCTCTTGAAGCAGGGATTCTACCAGGACAGGTCCCTCATCTTGTACCCCCAGTGCTGCTGCTCACGAGGCTCAAGGCTGAGAGTCAGAGCCCAGCTGTTTGCTCCCCACCCTGAGCAGGTGCAGCAGGCTGTTCCCAGCTCCCCCAGCACCATTCCCAGCCCAGGACCCCATCCCTTATCCTGTCACACATCCCAAGGCAGCAGCCAGGACCTCATCCCTTATCCTGTCACACATCCCAGCCACTGCCAGCTCCCCCAGCACCACTCCCAGCCCAGGACCCCGTCCCTTGTCCTGTCACACATCCCAAGGCAGCAGCAGCAGGGTGACAACTACTCACATCCATAGAAAGCCCGGGACAGGATCTGGTACTTCATGTTGTCACACAGCAGCTTCAGTGGAGCTCTGCCAACAGAAACACCCAGGATGTGGGGGCAGAAGATGCTCCTGTGCATCCCCTCAGCCTGGCTTTGATCCCACTGATCCAGCTTTGCCTGCAGGGATTCACCAGGGACGCTGCCCAGGTTCAGAGCAGCAATTCCAGCTGCCAGGCTGTGGAGCAGCTGAGATGTCCCAGATGCAGGGACCAGGCTCACCTCAGCCACATCCCAGTGGCCCTGCCATGGCTCCTGGACACGAGCCCTGGCTCTGCTGTGCCCCTGTGCCCTCGTACCTCTCGTGGCTGCAGCCGTTGGCCGGGCCCCCGTCGGAGGAGCCGCTCTGGGAGCAGGAGGAGCAGGAGGATTTGCGGGTGCTGGGCTGCCACATGGGGGGCAGGACAGCCCCCGGAGGGTCCATCAGGTCCTGGGGCACTGCAGGAGGGCAGAGAGGAGCGTCAGCTACAGCCTGGCACTGCCCTGCAGTCAGGGAGCTACGGAGAGAGCTTTCATTGGCAAACGCAGCGTCCCGCTCTTGCCAAGGAGGCTCCAGCAACCAAGCAGGAGCCACCACAGGGAATCACAGCACTGGTGAGCTCAGGAGAAAGGGACAAAGAGCACTGATGAGAGAGAACCATTGGTAATTAACCAGCTAATTCAGAAAGCTGATCTTAAACTGCTTCGTGCTGACCAAGGCAGAAACCCAACACCCAACGCAGAGGCTCCAGAGAGAAAAACAGGATTGAAACCAGCTGCTGTCCCAGGAAGAGTGGATTACTGGAAGGGAAAAGGCCCATCCCATCCAAAGTTCAGGGAAAGAAGGGAGCATCCAAATCACAAGAGAGGAGATGAAGGCTTGGATGAAGAGGCTGAGAGGCACAGCAGGAGCTCTGCATGTTGTCACTTGTTAATCCCTGCTGAAACTCAAAGTGCTGCTGCAAAGGCCTTGGGTCCTGCCCAGGTACCACCCACACAGCACAGGCCATGAGGAATAATCCTTTTCACTCCTCCTTGGAAATTAAATTGTGGTAGAAATTTCATTTTCTGGGTCCTCGCTCTCCTTTGGTCTCACTGGCTCTCCCTGCTTGTGATAAGGAACAAATGACATTGGCAGGAAAAATACTGAATTATTCCCACAGAATAATTCCCCTCCCACCGAGCTGATGGGTCAGTGACAGGGACAGCTCTGCAGGAGCTCCCAAGTGACAACACAGGTGAGCTGAGCACCAGACCCAACCAAGAGCTCATTACACTGATGCCAGGAGGTGCCCAGAGCAGCACGGAGAGCTTGGGATCTGCCAGGGACACTCAGACACCATTTGGGCATCACCACCATCTTGCTTCCAGCTGGAATCTTCATGATCTTCCCTCTCCCAGCAGTCACAGGTGCAAGGAGTGGGTGAAAAGCACCATTAATGGCAACTAGAGACACAGAGAGAGGACAAAGGCACCAGTGAAAGGGGAGAAAGGGAGAATCTGTGGAGAAGAGAGGATGATGCAGTTCCACCCCTGGCTGAGGAGGTGCACAGGAACAGCACAGGCTGTGATGATGCCAGCTGAGGAGGTGGCAGCAAATTCATTTCCCAGAAAATGTGGCCCCCAGCATGGAATTTTAAGGGGTGCATCAAAAGGCAGCCACAGAAAGGCACATCTCTATCTGCTGTTTTAGCCCCAATCAGGTTTTTATCTGACTCACTGAATTGTGTTAGTCAGCTGAAGGCAGGGACAACCAAGTATAATCTCAACTGACGTTATGGAGGAGTCACAGCGGATGTAATTTCTCCATCATAGCCTCCAAAATGTAGGAAAAAGGTTTCCATCCCATTTCAGAGCTTTTCAAAAGAGGACTCCACAAGTCTTCCATATAAAACTCATTTTCTCCCACTTCTAAAGTCACCTATGATGATAGAAAACAGTTTCTGGCACCTCACAGAAGAGTGAGGACAAATGTACAGACATTTCAGCCACGTTCAGATCATTCACCAGCAGGCATGAAGAAGGATTTCTGCTTTGGATAATCCAGCAGCATCCCCTCCCTCGAGTTAGGGCCTGAAGGCAGAGCAGGGTGCTGGGACCTCCCCTCTGTGCTGCAGGAGCCACACTGAGGGAACATCACTGGATTTACTGCAGCCTGGGGGCAGCTAGAGAAGAATCAGCCCTGGGGGCTTGGGATGGCAGAAGGTGGCCCCCAAGTGACCAAAGTGAACCTTTTTACTGATATTATGAGGGTGTCATTAAGAGGGGGTTGTGGCTGACCATCAATGCTGTTGTGCAGGTAAGAAACAAAGCACTCAGTAGCAAGTGGAAGTAATAACAAAAAAAAAAAAACAACCAAACCAAACCAAAAAAAAAAAAGAAAACCAAAACAAAAAAAGCAAACCCCAAAAACCCCCCAAAAAACCCCATAGAATCATGGAATGACTGGGTTGGAAAGCAATTTAGAGATTATTTAGTTCTACTCCTTGCCACGGGTAGGGACACCTTCCATGATCCCAGATTGCCTCAAGCCCCATCCAAGCCTGGTCTTGGACCCTTCCAGGGATGGGGCAGCCACACCTGGCTGCTCTCTATGCCAGGGTCTCCCACCCTCCCAGGGTGACTGATTTAAATGATTTAAATGATGATATTTAAATCAGGCAGCACTGGCACAAGCAGAGCCCCTCCCCGGAACCACCTCCCAGTTTGCCTTGTGCCCACCAGTGCCACGTCCCAGCTCCTCCAGCCCCCCCAAAGGCTGCCCTGCACTCACCAAACTCTGTCTGAGTCCCAGGGTAGATGATCCTGAAGACATAATCCGTGGCTTCATCATCCTCCTTGTCAGACGCGGACTCGGAGGAGCCCTGGGGGCTTCTCTTCTTCAGTTTGGGGAACACCTTTCCCTGGGGAGCAGAATCTGCCCTTCACCAGCCACCCATGTCCAACCACTCCCTTCCCGAGCTCCTGCCCCACCTGCTTTGCTATATCTGCACATTCCCTGGGCTGGAGCAGCCCCTGGATCAAGTTTCCAGTGGCAGGTGAATCCATAAGGGTAAGTACAGCCCAGAGAGCCAAACCCTCATGGGCAACCATCCCACAGTTTTCCAGAAGGGTCTGTTTAACTTGGCATGAGCTAAACCCAACCACCACACTTAATATTAATTAACTGAATTTATTAATTTGGGGAGGGGGTCATTTAAAACACAGCAGCCACTAATGCCAGGCAGAGGGAACCCCAGCAGGGAGAGGCACCCACCTTTCCCCGCTGTGACCAGAGGGGTGGGTCCAGCTGCCCGTGGGGCAGGAGGCCGTTCTCCAGGCAGGACAGGAACTGCAGCAGGTGTCCTCCACGGGGGAAGCGCAGAGGTGGCCTCTGGATGCCATCCTGGCTCACCAGGACCACCGTGCCACCGCTGTCTACTGCTGGCAACAGCGAGAGCACACACAGCCGTCAGTGAGGGAAACGGTGCAGCCATGATATGGCCTGAAAAATCCTTTCCTTAGGATTTTTCCTCCTGAGAAGCTGAGAGGCCTCAGGAACGAAATGTGAACAATGGTTATCTGCTGCTGTGGAATGCAACAGGTGCATCTGTGATTGGTCTCGTGTGGCTGTTTCTAATTAATGGCCAATCACAGTCAGCTGGCTTGGACTCTCCATCCAAGCCACAAGCCTTTGTTATTAATTCTTTCTTTTTCTATTCTTTGCTAGCCTTCTGATGAAATCCTTTTTAGTATAGTTTTAATATTATATATATCATAAAATATCATATAATATATAAAATAATAAATCAAATATAAAAATAATATATATTTATAAAATAATAAATATAGTAAAATATAGTATCATATATATCATAAAATAATAAATCAAGCCTTCTGAAACATGGAGTCAGATCCTCATCTCTTCCCTCATCCTCAGACCCCTGTGAACACTGGAAAGCTCAGGGAATGGGAAATAAGGACTTTCTTCCTTGTGTGGATTCTTCTCTAAGTCCATGATAAAACAGACCCTGGAAAAGGCTTAGTTGGGATCCCTCCCTTGGAAATCAGTGCAGGGAGCACTCACAGCCAAGCACCATTGTGGTGTTCACAGGGGTTTTAGGATGAGGGAAGAGATGAGAATGTTGACTCCATGTTTCAGAAGGCTTGATTTATCATTTTATGACATATATTATATTAAAACTATACTAAAAGAATAGAAGAGAGGATTTTACTAGAAGGTTAGCTAAGAATAGAAAAGGAATGATAACAGAGGCTTGTGACTGAGACAGTTTGGACAGTTGGACTGTGATTGGCCATTAATTAGAAATAGCTATATGAGACCAATCACCGATCCACCTGTTGCATTTTACAGCAGCAGATAATTATTGTTTATATTTTGCTTCTGAGGCTTCTCATCTTCTCAGGAGAAAAAATCCTAAGGAAAGGATTTTTCATAAAACACGTCTGTGACACACCACAGCCAGGAGCTGGGGAAAGACTTTTCTAGAAGCACTTAAATCACAGCGACCACCCAGAACTCTGGGAACTGCCCTGGAGCCTCAGCAGAACCGTGTCCCAGGGGTAAGGGATCAAGTCCAGGTGCCAGAGCCCCCAGCATGCCCAGGTGTGGCCTTACCCTGCTGGTGGCAGTGCAGGTACACGATCTCCTCCAGGCGAATGGTCATGGCATAGTCCCAGTACACGCTGCAACAGAGGGACAGGGAAGCTCTGAGCCTCCAGGGTGGGAGAGGCTCTGCTGCTGCTCACAGCAGCTCCAAACCCTGCTCCTCACCCCCTGGCAGCAGCCAAAGCCGCAGAAAGGATGCGATCCCAGAGCAGTGATGCCAGCCTGATGAGTGACAATGTGCCTCCAGAGCCAGGAACCGTCCCTGCCACCTCAGCTCAGTCCTGTCCTGCCTGCCCTGGGTGGTTTCTCTGCCCTCACACTGTTCCCAGGCACAGGAAATGTGCCCATGGATCCTGGCAACTGCAGGGAGGGACTGGAGCCCTGCAGAGCTGAGCACTCTCCTCTGGGCACCCCAAGAATCCCTCAGGAGCATCCCTGGAGCCCCAGGGAAATGTGCAGTGAGGTCCAAGCCTGGGCTGCTGCTCTGCCCCACGGAGGGGAAATAAACCCTCACAATTTGTGGGGTTTTTTCAGAGCTCACAACAGGTTTGGCCTCAGCTGCTTCTGTTCCAGAACTGCCTCAGCACAGGCACCTGGAGGTGTCTGAGCAGATCTAGAACATGCTGGAGAGCTGGTGGCCACCAGACAGAGCAGACAGCAGGGTTTCATTCCTGTAGAGAGCCCAGCACTGCTGTCCAAGGGTGTCAGCACTCAATCACAGCCCACTGCTTTGCAACAAAGCAAATTTCCAGATTCTGAGCTGCAGCAGCAGCATCTGCCACTTTGTAAAAATAGTGCTTAAATAGCATTAAGAACAGTTCGTGAAGGACAGGAAGGTGTGCAGGAGTGACTCCCTGTGCAGTCATACTCACTGTGCCATCTGCCTCCTCTCTTCCTTGGTCACGTCTTGACACTGGGAATTTTTAGAGCTTAGGCTGATGCCCAAGGCAAGAACTCAGAAAAGGAGTGTAGAGATGGAAACAGATTTTAGGGGAGGGTACCAGGCTCAACTGGACGGCCCAGGGGCCAAGAAGAAAGGGGAGATGAAAAGTACACAGGTAAACAAAAAACTACAACTGAAAATGAATTAAATGGAGACAAAGTTCTGCTGAAGAAGATCTCTAGGTGAAAGTATCAGTGTGCTAAACACTCCCACTTTCCTGGAGCCAGGAGAAACCTAGCAGCACAATGTGCCAGGAGGGAGGGAGAGCATTCCCCTCAAAAAAATCCCCCAGGGCAACAAACAAAACCACTGTGTGTGCTTTGGAACAAGCCCCACTCCCTCTCTGAGCACTTCCCAGCACAGACACACCTCACTCCACCTCTTGCCACGCTCTCCCTGCCTCCTTCCATTACAGGCTCAAGGGTGATGGCGTTTCTCTGGGAAAGCTGTGATGGGTTCTGCATCCCAGATGCAAACTCTGACCCAGGGGAACACTTTCCCCACCCCATTCACCTCTTCTCATAGTCCAGGTCCCCCACGGAGCCATTCATCAGCTGGTTGGGGGTCCACTTGAGTGCCATGATGTCAGCAGTCTGGTGAAGGGACAGGTACCCTGGGATTGCCTCCATGTCATCTGTCTGGGAGGAGAAACACAGTGGCACACTGAGCTGGAAGCAGCACAAAGCCCTGGAGCCCAGCTGTGGCCCCTCACACAGCCCTGCCCACCCAGTCACAAACAGGGAGGAACTCACTGTGTCCCTGGAAAACCTCCTAGCACAGACTCCAGGACACGTCAAGGCCTTGGAAAAGGGCTGAGAGCAATTTCCCAGCAAGGAAAACCTAATAGCTCCACCTAAAAGCAGTTTGCACTTCATTTATTTGACTACAAGAAGCAGGAGGGGACAGGAGAAGTTTTGTGGCAAAGAATGGGCAGGGAGAGGAGCCTGTATTCCCACCCAGGCTGGAGCAGAGCTCTTCCACCACCAAAACCTCCACAAACACAGCCCACTCACTGCCTTCCCAAATGGAAAATGTGCTTTTCTGCATCCAAGAGCAGTTTGGGACAGAACAAGGTGCTGATGGGCAGAGCAGCAGGGTTTGCAAGCCCAGCAGGACTCACCGGCTGCACCAGGACGTTGTTCTTGCCATACAGGAGCGTGGCTCGGGAGTTCTGGTGCAGGGACTCCACGTAGTCCCTGGCAGACAGGGATGGCCTGTCATCCATGCTGCCACTGGAATGCCTTTTCTGAATCTGCAAGAGATGCCCACAAATGTGAGGTGAGCACAGACACCCTCTGGCTTCCTCAAAGCTTCTCTTCAACCTCATTCCCTCCTCACTTATGAGAGTCACTACTAGAAATCCTTCCCTCAGGGCCCTCTAAGGGGATTTCTGACTCTGTCCAAGCGCAGAGAAGCCCCAGGAGTGAATTTTGTTTGCAATGCACAGAGCAGATTCAGCTTTCTGTTCATACATGATGATCCCAGGGACACAGACCCTGGCATGCAGTGCCAGGAGAGCTGGCACGCCACTGCTCTCCATGGGCCACATCCCCAGCACCTCTGCCACAAAGACTTTGGCTCCAGAGGCCTTTCCAAGCAAAGGGAGCCCAGATGCTGTGGATTGGGAGCGGCAGAGAGGTTTTTCCCCCACTCACACAGAGCGCCGGACGCTTGGTTGGTGAATCCTGGCGGCAGTGGGAGCTGTGGATCCTGTGCCTCTGGACCAGCTCATCTGCAGAGGGGTCTGTCCAGAAGTGGTCAGCAGTCTTCATCTTGGTGTATTCCAGTGCACAGGGCCCCACTGTGGAGAGGAACACCCCAAACATAAGGGAACCATCCTTGATCCCACGGCCACGGTCACCTCCCGCATCTGCAGATTGCAGATTTGGGAGCATGGGTTTGGAAAGCAAGGAGGGAAAGCAAGTGAAGCAAGTGTTACCCAACAAAGATGCCAGAATTGGCCCATCCACAGGATCCATCAGGAGAGCTTCCTTCTCATAGTACTTACTAGAAGAGATAAAGGACAGCAGAATGCTGGAGCACTGCAAAGTTATAGATGAGTGCTTTAAATCCTCATCATGCCCTTCTCTTTCTGTATCACCCTTTGATGGGGAGAGGGCAAGAAGCCCTAAACAGGCTGAGAAATTCCTGGGGAGCAGCACATTGCAAGCATCACCATCTCCTAACTAACCTGTCCCAGCACAGGACACCTGAGCATGCAGATCCCAGAAGACAAGGACAATGCAGCCCTGACAACAATTCATTCATTCATACAGACAATCCTGTCTGTATTTTAGGGAGTGCACAGTGGTCACCAGCAGCAGGGCATCCATCGGAGTCCCACTGAGTGACACACCTGGCCTGTGCCATGCAGGGATTTCCCTGTCCCATGTGGATACAGGTGTTCCTCACCCCCAGTGCCATGGGCAGGACAGGGGTGGGCAGTGCCAGTGCTCACCTGCTGTTCTCCACCAGGTAGTGCACGATTTTATCCAGGACCTTTTCGAAGAGGGCTGTGCGGATCCAGAGGTGCCGGATGGCCTGAGGAGACAGGTTGGGCAGCTTGGGCACCTTGCGCACGTTCTCCGGGACCCCCTGGGCCTGGTTTCTCCTTTAGGGGTACAAGACAAGAGACAACAACACCACAGGCTCACCCCTGAACTCTGAGGGAGCCCAGGGCACTCTTGTCACCAGGGGTTTGGGGGTGTTGACTGGAGGATCCCAGGGAATTGCCTGGCACTGAGATCTGGACGTGTTTCCTGTCCCTATCCCACCCCCTGCTCCAGAGGAGCCACACCTGCATTTGAAACCTCATCACCAAATCAGTTCCCCACTGTAAATACAACCCCAGAACTCTGCTCTCCCTCAGCACAGCCCACACACATTTCCATGGCTGAGCTCACAGGCAGAGCAGCTCATCTTAGGACGGCTTAAAATTCCTGCCCGCAGGTAACTGCTCCATCCATCTCCCTGCTAATTGTCCAAGGATGAGTAATCCTCTCCCAAACAGCAGCTGAATTACTGCAGCTTTGAGTCCCTGCACACTGAGAAAGGCCAAACATGGTTCCAGCTTGGTGAACTGGTCCATAAACTCTGACAGCTCAGGAGCAGCGTGCTCAGCTCTCCCTGAAGCACCAGAGCAGAGGCAGTGAGACTTAAAACTTGTCCATGCCTGCTTAAACCACAACCCAGTCTCCTAAAACACCAACCAGTTTGGTCAAGACATAAAAAACCCAGGGGAGAAGACTGAAGGAGCAATTCCTCCTGTCGAGGCTCAAGCTGGACCCAAACCACACTTCCCACCCCAAAACCCGAGTGAGCACGGAGGACTGGCAGCCACGCTGGTGCCTTACGCGTTCTCAATGAGCTGCTCCAGGTCCTGCACCTTCCTGCAGAGCTCCTCTGCCAGGGGGAAGCTCTTGCCCACCTTCATGAAGAGCGCTGCGATCTTGTTGCTGCGCAGGAAGCCGGCCGCCCTCCGCTTCAGCCCGAACAGCACACAGCATTCCACGGCGGCTGCAGAGAGCACAGGGCCTCAGGATCAGGGTATTCCCAGCTGGAAGGAGCCACAGGGCTCACCCAGTCCAGCTCTTTGAGGGATTGGCCCATCAATGGAACATGGAGTTATGGCAGTCTTGGCTTCAGTAGTGCCGTGCTCTACCCAACTCAGCCAACCTCAGGGTCACTGGAGCAGCTTCCCTGTGGAGTCAGGCTGAGAGAGCACAGGCCTCAGGATCAGGATATTCCCAGCTGGAAGGACCCACAGGGATCACCCAGTCCAGCTCTTTGAGGGGTTGTGGAGCACACAGTTATAGCACCACAGAATCTTGGCTTTAGTAGTGTTGTGCTCTACCCAACTCAGCCGACCTGGGGGTTTCTGGAGCACCTTCCCTATGGAGTCAGGCTGAGAGAGCACAGGCCACAGGATCAGGATATTCCCACTTGGAAAGAGCCACAAGTATCACCCAGTCGAGCTCTTTGAGGGATTGGCCCATCAATGGAATACACACAGTTATAGTACCACACAATCTTGGCTTTAGTAGCACTGTGCCAACTGAGCCAACCTAGGGGTCTCTGGAGCACCTTCCCTACGGAGTCAGGCTGAGAGAGGTGGGGCTGTTCAGCCTGGGGAAGAGAAGGTTGTGTGGAGACCTCACAGCACCCCCAGGGTCTGAGGAGATTTCAAGGAATCCATAAAGGGACTGTTCATCAGGAGCGCTCCTACTAGACCAGGTTGCTCTAAGCCCCATCCAACCTATCCTTGAACACTTCCATGGATGGAAGCTCCTAAAACTCCTCAGACAGTAAATCTGAAGGCAGAGACATCCCCACCTTGGCTTCAGGAAATTGTAATCCTACCCCACATGGGAATTAGCAACAAGCACTACAGCTCCTCCAGGCAGGAGGGCAAACAGGCTGACACTCTTCTTTTTGTGGTTTTTTTGTGGTTTCTTGTGGATTGTGGAGAAACCAGCATCTCCCTGATGTTTTCCCTTCAGCCCAGTCTGAGGGATGGGCACAGCTGGAACAGGAGGTTTCACACTCTGTGCTGGGATGGTGCAAGTCAGGAGGAGAAAGCTCAGGAGCAAGGACAGGCACCCTGAAGGTTTCTAAAGCAGCACAGGAAATGGGGCAACTTCCCCCAAAAAATCTCCATGTTCATACAAACATTTTTCTGAAAAGCTGAAAGGAACAAAGAACCAGGGGATAAACCACAGGCAGTGCCAGCAGCTCAGCCTGGCTTTGGGAGACATGGGGACTCATTAAGCCCCTGTGGAAGGCAGTGCCTGTCTCCATGTCCTGAACTGCACCCAGAGGCACTCACCAAACCCCAGTGAGTGCCCAGACAGCCCCAGACACCTTCCCTGCCCTGCCAGGATCCCAGGAATGAGCCATGACTCCACAGAAAGGCTCACACAGCACGGCTCAGCCAGCAGCTCGTTCCCAAACCCCCTGGGAGGGCTCAGGATGGATGTCTGGTGCCAAACACAGGCTGATTAAACAGGCTGATCAAAGCCCTGGAAAATCACACAGACCCACATCCTCAGGCCCTTGATCCGGGTGTGACAAGGACAAGTTCTGCTCCCTCCTCCCCGGGAAGCCAGCGCTGCTGAGCTGAGCCCGGATGGATGCTGCTTCCCCTCCTGCCTGGAGAGGCACAATTCCCTGCAGCTCAACAACTCCATGGAGACATGGAAAAAGGCATTCCTGCAGCCCATCTCAGCAGCTCCCAGGCTGGGAGAGGCTCATTATCCTGCCCTGATCCATGCCTGAGCTCAGTGCCCAGCAGCAGCAGCATCCGAGGGGGGATGAGGCACAGCCTGTGCTGGCAGAACAACAACAGATTTGGGCCAGCCCAGCCCTGCTGACCCCCAGCAACCACTGCATGGAAACCAGGCCCTGCACAAGCCCTCCCAAAGCCCAGAGGGTCTCATCTGTCCCAGGATTATGTGCAGCCACAAATAAAATAAACCCCAAACTGCTCCATGGCTTTGCCAAACACCTCCCTCATGTGTCCTATGCTCCATGGCTGAAATACAAGTGACAGACAGCCCCACCTGCCTGGGACTGCACCTAGAGATGCACATTTGAGTGCACAGCTCAGGTTGGTGCTGAAAGCTCAGGTATCCATGGGGGATGAGCAGCCAGGGCTGCTCCTGCTGCACCCCAAAAAGGGAGCTCCCAGTGCCACCAGTTGCATTCCAAACTCCCAGCAGACAAATGGGAGCACTGGTGCTCTCTCACTGTGCTCAGGTCACAGGCAGCACATCCCAGCTCCTGCCAGGCAGGGAGAAATCCCAGCTCCTGCCAGGCCCCTGGCACAGAGCACCAAGACAGAGCTGTCAGCAGCATCTGTTCCCAGCGCCAGATCTGAACCCATGCAAAACACCTCTCCTGCTGGCAAACTGCAGGGAAATGGGCTGCTTCCACAGGAAAAACCCTCCCCATGCTCTACTAAATCCAGGGGTGATGGCAGGACTTTTAAACAGGATGAGCTTTGGAGCTCAGTTTTGCCACCACTGCAAAGAGATTCTCCTCATCCCTCAGGATATAACTTACAGCAGAGCCAGGATATAATCTGTGGTGCATCAGCTACACCCAGCTAAGGGGCAGCTCTCACTGAAAATATTCCTGAGCTGCCCAGAGCCGTGACATGACCCAAACCCCTGGGGCTGAGCAGCCCTGGCTGACGTGGGCACCAAACCCTGCGCTCCCCATCAGCCTCCTAGGGCAGCCTGGGTGTGACAGATGCCAGCTCCTGTTTGTGTGCTCCAAACCCCCCCTGCCAGCTGCTGCCCTTCCCTGCCAGCCCCCTGGCTCCATCCCTGGGCTTTGTGCTGCGCTGAGGGCTCTGCTGCGAAGGGAAGGCAAGGCAAGGCAGCTCTCTCCAGGGAAAAGGGCAGCTCCAGGCGTGCAGCACGCTCTGCTTGGCAGGGAGACAGGTTATTTATGAGCTCACCCAGCTCCTGGAGAGCCACAGCACTGGGGAAGGTGGAGATGCTCCATTCCAGCAGGAGGGGGACACCAGGAAGCAGGGAAATGCAGCAGCGTCTTAGGAGGGCAGAAGGGAGCAAGGAGCCCTTGGTGCCTGGACGCCTCAGCTCCCTGTCTATAAATAATGGCAGCTTGAGGAGCCTCGTGCTGCACAGAAAAGCAGGGAATGAGTCACACCTGGAGGTCTGCTCTGCTCTTTCAATGCCACACAGGGGCTGGGAACAGGATCCTGGGTGTCTTTGGTGCGAGGGCCCAGCAGGAAAGGAGAAAGCCCAGCCTCCTTTCTGTCACAGACATCTCTTATGAAAAATCCTTTCCTTAGGTTTTTTCCTCCTGAGAAGCTGAGAGACCTCAGGAACAAAATGTAAACAATGGTTATCTGCTGCTGTGGAATGAAACAGGTGCATCTGTGATTGGTCTCATGTGGTTGCTTCTAATTAATGGCCAATGACAGTCAGCTGGCTCAGACAGAGAGACCAAGCCACAAACCTTTGTTATCATTCCTTCTTATTCTATTCTTAGCTAACCTTCTGAGGAAATCCTTTCTTCTATTCCTTTAGTATAGTTTTAATGTAATATATATCATAAAATAATAAATCGAGCCTTCTGAAACATGGAGTCAAATCCTCATCTCTTCCCTCATCCTAAGACCCCTGTGAACACTGTCACACCTTTCCACAAACTCCTATTCCATAACAGCAAAGAAAAGATTTGGACTTGACAGGCTTTCAGCTGGATCAATTCTCTAGGGAATTTAAAAATAAAATATTGTTTCTTGTCCTTCCTCACTGCCAGCATCCCTCCCTCTTTTCACACACCCCTGTATATTTTAAGCACAAAAACCTCAGGGATTGTGACCTCTGCCAGGACAATCCATCCTCTGGCACTCCCCATTCCCCCAGCCCAAGGTCCTGGAGCTGGAATGGGTTCCCAGGAGTGGCACAGCACCAAAACCCCTCAGTGCAGGCCAGCACAGGAGACTCACCACAGAAGGAGATGATGTGGCTGCTGTCCTCATGCACAAACTTCCTCGTCACAGCCTCCTCCATGATCTGCTTCACCTGCAGGACAGAGGCAGTCAGGGAAAACACGGAATTTCAGCCATGGATCTGCAGTGGGGTGGGTGCACAGGAGCCCCCTCTGCTCCCAGGTTATCCCAATGGCACAGGAGAGCTCACAGAGGATTGATGCAGCTCTGCCTGCTGAGCATCACCACTACCTCAAAAAGGTATAAAAAAAGGGGTTTTTCATTTCTGAGAAAAATCACAGAAAATTCACAGAAATCGTTGTAGGAAAAAGGATGAGCTGAGGATTAACTGAGGGAACTGAGCATCACTTAGACAAAAGACATCTAATAAAGGTACCCAAATCTCATATTTAAGGTTTTTACAGCATTGTTCTGTTCTCTCATTCTGCTTGACAAGTTCCCTGTGACACAGCTGTCCCAAATGGCTGCAGCCCTCCATCAATGCCTAACTCAGTGATCACCTGGCACCAGCTGTGCCCAGGAACCCCATCTGCAGGGCAGTGCCAGCAGCTGTGACCTCCCTGCCTCAGAGCTGGCACTCAGCTGACCCAGGGCAAGCTGTCCCTTAGTGCTCACCAGGGCCACCATCAGGGGACAAAAACAAACAGGACCCCACACGAAATTGCTGCAGGGAGCAGACAGGAGGGTGGTGACATCCATCCCCAGCTGTCACCCTCCCTCACCCTGCTGCAGGCAGCCAAAGCCCAGCTGAATCTCTGCTCCTTAAACATTCACTTCCCAACCACTTTTCCCTTCAAACACAGCTGCCAGCACGCCTGGATCTCATCTCCCAGTGCCTCTGCAACATCTTGGTTTTGGAAAACACAGGGGGAAGTGTTGCCAGCACAGAGCTGAGGGTGTGAAGGGAGCTCTGCTGAGCAAGGCGCTGTCCCTGAGGGCACAGGGAAACACAGCAGGTCAGGGCTTGGCCAAGCAAACCTTGGCAGCAATGAGAGGCCCTTTAATGGCATCATTTGGGGAATTAAACTCCCCTGCAAGGTATAATCAAGGGCAGTTATGCACGGCTGACAGCTCCATAAAGGAAATCCTGAGTATGGATTAAGAGCGGAGCCAAGAGCTGCTCTGTCAGAGGCACCAGGTGAGATCCCAGCCCTGCTCCCTGCTCAGTGACCAACAGGGAGCTCTGAGGCTTCCCTGGATGCCAGATGAGCTGGTACTGAGTCAGGAAGCCACAGCAGGGAATGTCACTGAGATGTGGAACTGGGGACTGGAGGTGCCTCAGAGCACTGGGGAATTCCTCATGGTCCAGCTCCTGCACCTTCCACACCTCCCACATCCCAGCCCTGTGCTCAGAGCAGCGATTCCACCGGCAGGAACACCCCAGGGACCAGGATAAAGCTCCATCTTCCACCTCAGTGCCCTGTTGTGTCCTAAAACTGCAGCTGCCCCTGGTCAGGGCTCCTCCTGGTGCTCCTTCATTCTCTATCTCCCATCTTCAATTTTCTCCTGGTGTTCCTTCACTCCTCATCTCTCATCTTCAGTTTTCCCCTGATGCTCCTTCATTCCTCACCTCCTACCTTCAGTTTTCTCTTTGTGCTCCTTCATTCTCTATCTCCCATCTCCAGTTTTCTCCTGGTGCTCCTTCGTTCCTTATCTCCCATCTTCAGGTTTCTCCTGGTTCTCCTTCACTCCTCACCTCTCACCTTCAGTCTTCTCCTTGCGCTCCTCCATTCCTCATCTCCCTCTGCAGTTTTCTCCTGGTTCTCCTTCATTCCTCATCTCCCATCTTCAGTTTCCCCCTTGTCCCAGAGCCCCACCTGGCCACCAGGGAAGGAGCAGCTGCATCCTCACTGAGGGCTCCTTGCTCCAGCATCATTTAATTTTACATTTCAGCAACAAAAACAGGGACAGAGCCAGTCCCAGCAAGAGGAGAGGAGCCTCTGTCTCCCACACATCCCCAGGCTTGGCTGCAGGATGGAGCAGGGATGGGGAGCAGCACACAAACCTCCATCCATGTGCCCACCACGTGCTGCCCCTTTCCCTCCACCTGGAATTCCCACCACAGATATCCTGGCATCCTGCTCAGGTGCATCTTTGATTGGTCTCATGTGGTTGTTTGTAATAAATGGCCAATCACAGTCTGGCTGTTTCAGGCTCTCTGAGAGTCACAAGATTTTTTTATTGTTATTCCTTTCCTATTCTATTCTTAGCTAGCCTTCTATTAATATAATATAATATAATATAATATAATATAATATAATATAATATAATATAATATAATATAATATATATATTTCATCATAATATATATATAATAAAATAATAAATCAGCCTTCTGAAACAGAAGTCAGATCCTCATCTCTTCCCTCATCCTGCAACCCCTGCAAACACCACAGGGACCCTCAGGGATTCCCTGAAATTTGGCTGAGCCTCCCTTGTCCAGATGGCTCCTGACCCTCACCCAGGCAGGCTGAGCTTGCTCTGTGTGAGTTAATATCTCACACAGATATTAAATGTACACTCATGGCAGCACTGGTGGTGTCAGGATTTTACCCCCACACCTCCACAAAATACACCTGAAAATCAATTTGCAGAGTTATGTCTTTACCAGCTTCTGATTCAATCAGGAAATACTGGAATATAAGGAGTATATTCAAATACTTGTTTGAAATTTCAGTGCATTGACACAGTGCCTGCAGGGCAGTGACCATCTGTCTGTCCAGGGCCTGGGGACCATCCAGGACAGCAGGACACAGCTCTGAGTGGGCATTTCAGTGCCAACACTGCACAGACCACCGGCACGCTCGAGGCTCAAACAAAACACCTTCCAAGGGACACAGTTTAGTGGAAAATTACTCATTAAAGGTAAAAAAAAAAAAATAATAAAAATATCACTGAGGTTGGAACACTAAAAATAAACCAAGTCTAAAGGACTGGAAGTGGAAAGAGCAACAAGGGCACTCACCAGCACAGACAGACACACAAGACCTTGTAACACAAAACAAGGGATATCTTGGAATCCTGGAATGGTTTGGGTAGGAAAGAACCTAAAGTTCATCCCTGCAGTGCATGGACAGCTTCCACTAATCCAGGATGCTCCAAGCCCCATCCAAGCTGTCCAGGGAACAGAATCAACACTTCCAGGGAATGGAGCCAAGAGATCCCAACTTCCTCTACCTACCAAGAAAGTTTTCCAACAAAACCATCCTAAATTTGCCCAAACAGACACAGCTGGCATCTCTAGGGCAGCTCAGGGGCAGAGAAACCCAAAACTCCTGAGAGATCTGCTGTGCTGCTGCCTGCAGACCCCAAAGGACTCTCCCAGAGCCAGATGGGATCTGCCATGGGATTTGTGACACCCCTTGGTTCCCTGCACACAGCAGCCTTGAACAGCCTCTGAATGTGCTGTTTTTATGCATTTTAATGCTAATTCTCTCAGACTGCAGCCAGAACAATCCCAACAGATGAAGCTGCCCACTCTGGATCTCACGCCAGCCCAGAGAAATGAGATGTTTGCTCTTCTTTTATTAGAAAGGAAATTAAAACGGCAACTAATGATTTAGCTGGAGGTAAACACGAGAGGAACATCATCAAGTATTCCACAACAGCACAAACAGCCCCCCTGGAAAGGGAAATCAAACCCTCACCTGCCCAACAGCCCCAGGGAGGGATGAAGGATGAAGGATGAAGCTCAGACCTCTCTGCTGCAAAATTCCCAGGGTTATTCATCATCCAAAGCCCAGCTCTGCTGTCACCCAGCCCTGCTGTCATTTACACAAATATTATCACAGCACAGCCACCACTGAGGTGCAGGGACCAGGAGCACACTGAGAACTGCAGGTTTGATTAGCCCAAGGCAATATTGACTCTCAGCTGTTGTACCTGGTCAGGCTTTTCCCTGCAGGACCTGCACCCTGGATCATTTGCAGCCCATTTTCCTGACTCTTGCACAGGTTATTCAGGCATTTCTGTGGATGCACAGCACCTCCTGTCTATTTGGCCATGCTCAGAACTCTGTGAAATTGTTTACAGCAAGCCAGATGCAAACAGAGCCTCCAGGGAGATCCTTTTCCCAATTTCCCAGTCCTGTTCCAGGGTCAAGCCCACTCACATTGTCACAGGCTGAGGGCAGCTATGGGGATGCTCCTGGCCACCAGATGCAGGAATGGGCCTGGATGCCATTTCCAGCACCAAAAAATGCCTGGATGAGCAAAAAATGGGGCACAGCAGCTCCAAACTGGAGCCAAAGCAGTGGGAGAGCATCCCATCCCAAACCCAAAGGATTTACAGCAAAGAATGGAGATGGAGATGATGGAGATGACAGGATGGAGAGGTCTCCTGCTCCCTCTGAACATCCACCTCTACACGGGCTGTCAGATCAGGGGCTGCAGTTTTTTCTGCTTTTCCTGCCTTGCCACCTTCCTGATCCCTACAGCAACAAACACCCTGATGATCCCAAAGCAGGTGCCAGGCACTGCTCAGCACCACCCTCAGCCACTTCTCCAAGAGTTTAGTGGCTGATCACTACAAAAAAATCCAAATTAATCGTGCTGGGATCAGTTTAAACCCCCCCCCCAGCTGCAGGGCACAGGCAGAATTTACACCCAAAATCCAAATTAATCGTGCTGGGATCAGTTTAAACCCCCCCAGCTGCAGGGCACAGGCAGAATTTACACCCAAAATCCAAATTAATCGTGCTGGGATTAGTTAAAATCCCTCCAGCTGCAGGGCACAGGCAGAATTCACACCCAGATTAATTCTGGTGGCCCCTGGCACGAGGGGACAGCACGGGGACAGCTCTGGTGGCACCAGGCACTTGCCTTGAGAGCCATTTGGCAGCTCCCTGTTCCTGCTGCCTCAGCAACATCGATCACCCCGCAGCCCACTGAGACCTCTGGCTTTTCTGAAAAGTCTTATTTCATTATTTATGACCACTTGCTGAATAAAAGATGGCACCTCGCTGCAGCTGAGGGATGCTCCACATGGCACACAGGAGGGAATTCCAGGCCAGCCCTTCCCTGTGCTCACAGCTGGGCACTGGGGTGATGCTCCTGAGGGGGATAAGGCAGGAGAACAACTCAGAATATTCCTGCAGTTTGGCTGGAAAATGAATTTAAAATGCATTAACGGAAGGATCCATAATGCAACATTGCATTAGGGGGGGCACAGGGGGCGATCCCAGCCACGTGTGTTTGCTCAGAGTGTTTTGCAGCAGACTTTCGTCAACTTTTTCGGCCAAAAAAAAAAAAATTCCCTGTTTGCAACACTGATTTCAGCAGCCTGGGATCACGTTCTAGCTGGTGCTATTCCTGTTGTGCTTGTCAAAGGCACATTTCCACGCCATCTGTGGGCACTGCTCGCTGAAAATGCTCAATGCAGACATTTAAGGAAGCATCTGAGGCAAACTTTAGTCATTTCTGTGTTTCCAGCCTCAAGGCTGGGCTCTGCTCTCACCACATCCCAAATTCCCTGTTTTTCCAAGGCACTGATGGCACCCTGAGGAGTCCTTTGGGTTCACTGGAACGTGGCAAAGGATGATGCTGAAACCAAGGGCAACTTCCAGCTCCCAAACTGCCCCGAATCCGTGCAAATCCAGGTATCTCCATGGCAACAGCCAGGATGCAGGCAGGGAATTTTGGCAGAGGGTGCCCTGGCCCAGGGAAGGTGTGAGGAAAGGGGAAAGCAGCACCAAACCTGCTCTGGGGATGGAAGACTCAAGGCAGGGGTTCCTGGAGCACGAGAGCTCTTGTGCACAGCCCTGCTTTCATCTCTGAGAGGAGAGGAAATGGTCCCCAGTGATCAGGGCTGCTCTTCAGAGCAGATCGATGCAGGCAATCGAGAAATGCTGCATTAAGGGCCCTCTCTGTTCTCTCCTGGCACAGAAATATCTGAAAAAGGCTGCCCCGGGTGCTTGAGAGACATCAGAGGGTCCCCTCTGCCAACAGCAGCTTTCATCACCAACCTGAAACTCATCATCCTCGTCCTTATCCTGCCTGAACACTTTTGACAGCTACACAAAGGCCTTCTCCCTTTTTTTTATTTTTTTTTTTAATAAACTGGCTTTGAGAACCTTGAGAACACTTAAAGCTCTCAACATTAATATTTCAAACCTCAGTAACATTAAATTAATTTACAATTTTCTACCCATCCAGAATGAAATAGCTGGCACTGATGCCTGCAATCTGATATTTTGGAATAGCAGGCACACATTAAAAAAAAAACCCAACTGCAAAAACATTGCTCTTACCAGTCATTTGTGTTATTTAGCCACAAACCAGGCAGCATGGCTGCAAAGCAGGGAAAGCTCCTGTGAAAGGGTGGGAGGAAGAGACTGACTGCTGTTCCCATGACACATGATGGAGGAATTAGTCAACAGCTACACGCTGACAACCATCCCAGCTACTGAAAAATAAACAATTTATCTGGCAGGAGACAAGCAGGCTGTGGTGGTCAACCCCAATATTTGAAACAATTCTAAGAGCAGGCAGCAAAAATATTCAATGCAGGTCCAACAGTTGCTGATGAGCAAAGACTCGGAGCTGCTTCCTGAGTGGCAAGTTAAACATAAACTAAGTTTGGTTTTTTTTTTTTTTTTTTTGCAGAAGAAGGACCAAGATGACTGTTTGCTTTCACACACAGCACCCAGCTCTTCTCTGAGCTCACACTCCAGGGACACGTGTGCAGGTGGATTGCACAGGTAGCAGCTGCTTCCCTTGCTCTGGAAACAGAGCTCAGGGCTCTCCTCTCTTCAAAACAAAACTTGTAAAAGAAGGAGGAGAGGTTACAAAGGGAATATTTCTAGTTGAAAACCCACACCCCTCCAAACCTGGGTATTTCTGGGTAGGTAAAAAAGCCTCATTCCACCTGATAAAAGCCCTGAAAAAGTGTTGGTCATGCTGCTCACCCTGCATAACAGCACAGAGGATGCCTCTCAGACTCAGACTCCATCCTTGCCTTGCAGCCTGCTGACAAACAGTCAATCCTGCAGCTCCCAGGCTTGCTTTGATTTATTGTGGCCATATGGGCTTGGGGGGGAGGAAGAAGATGGTGACAGAGAACACAGCTCATCTCAACCTGCACATCCACTGCAGCACAGGGCTGCTCCAGAGCCCAGTCCCTAACCATGGCAACAGCCAAATACTGAGGGCTGCTCGGTGCCCTGGCTGATTCCAGTTTATTGTTTGTGTCCCTGCTCAGATCAGAGCTGCTCCCCAGTGTTTGTGCTCTCAGTTGTGGCCCTGGGGTGACAGATGTGGCACAGCTCCCCAAGGACTGTCCCTGCTCCCAGCAGGGCTCACCTGCACTCAGGGAGCAAAACCAGGTGTGGCCTTGTGAAATGAGAATAATACAGCTTTGAGAAAGGTTAAAATTGTGGGAGTAGGGGAAAAAACCCAAATTTCTGCACCTGGCCCTTTCTAGTGCTCCTTGGAGTCTGCACAAGCTCCTGACTTAACCTGAGGTCAGCCTAGAAGAGGAAGGAAAACCAAAAGCATGAGCAGAGAGCAACAGGCACAGGAATGCCCCACCTGCTCCTGGTTTCAAGGGTGGTGCTGAATAATTAACCCCATAACCTACAGGATCATCTTTTCCCCAGGTTTTTAATTCCCACAGGAGCACACTGGGAATTTCCCTCCACGGAACTCCCCAACCTGTGTGGCCGTGCACCCACAGCCCCTGCCCAAGCCCAGCACTTCCAGCAGGCAAATCCCAAGGGAATTTGGGATCCCAACCACCTGGTGCCTGCAGGGGACCCACACCAGCATCCTGAGCAATGGGATCACCAGGAAAAACCCTCTGCTCCGTGTCAGCACCAAGGGGCTGCTGCGGAGAGCCCAGCGAGTGACAAACCCAGCTCACAGCACCGAGGTGGCTCCTCACAGGGCAGGAGGGCTCTCCCCAGGCTGCACCCACATTCACCAAACCCACATTATCTCCCCCAAAACCAGCAGCAGGGCAGGAGCCAAGCCCAGCTCTGCTCCCTGAGTACCAGCTCCACTTTCCCCAGCCCTGGGAGCCAGCAAAGCCAGCACTGAAGGCCAGCACAGGAGATGCTCTGGGGGAAGCAGGAGCAGCCCTGGCTCCCACCCTGCAGCAGCAGAGCTGTCTCTGCACTCAGGAGCCGCCACAGACAGCAATAATGAGATGGCAGCTCCATCCACAACGCTAAATAAATGTCATACCCTTTTCCCTGGCTTAACAGCCGTTGCTGGGGCAACCAGTGGTATTCCTCAGCACAGGATTAAAGGTGGGAAGTGGTCGGGATGGGCAGCGCTGTCACCGTCCCCAGACCCACCGCCCACGGCTCTGCTCCTCCCGGCTCCGAGCAGCAGATCCCACACCCTGTAAAGGGATAGCGGGATGCTCGTAACGCCAGGAGCAAAACACAAAACCTCCTCCCTCCATCCGGCATCCCGGGAGGTGACCTGCGGGGACAGAACGTGGGCAAGACATGACAACAGCGACAGCAGCCCCCGGTGCCCCGGCTCCGGGACTCGATGGACCGCGGGCTCGGCTGTGACACACGGGATAAACACGGACACGAAACAACGCACAAACTAATAGAGTTAAGGATGCCCGAGGAGGGGCAGCACGGCGAGATGCAGAACGCCACCCCCCGCTCCGGGCACACACATTTGATCCCCCCTTTTCCCCCGCTGCCCCCCGCCCTGCCCGGGAGCTGCGGGAAGGGCTCATCCCATCCCCGCTCCCCAGGGAAGGATGCAGCGCCGGGACTCGCCCCTTTTCCCTGCGGAAAATCCCAAGTTGTGGCGCGCTCTGCTCCCAGCCAAAGGCGATTTTTCCAAGGATTTTCCAAGCGCTGCAGGGATGCTCCTCCGCCCCCCGGGACCGCAACCGCGCCCGGCCGGGCTCTGGGCCCCGCTCCGGGATGCGTTTTTGGGGGGTCTGAACCCCATAGCACCAGCAGCAGCAGCCGGAGCCAGCGGAACCGGTGGAACCGGGGCTGCTCCCGGGGGTCCCGCACCCACCTCCTTCTTCACGGTGCGCAGCAGCCGCTGCCGGGTCTCCGCCTCTGCGGGGAGAAATGAGGAGAAGAGACCCCGTTAGTGCTGCCCTGCCCTGCCCAGCCCAGCCCCGGTGCCCGGCCGCGCTCCCCGCCCGCCGTACCCGCCGGGGCCGCCGCCATGGCCGCGCTCGCTCCGCAGCGCCCGCAGACTGCCGGGCACCGGGCCGGGCCCGCACCGCCCCCCGCCCGCCGGGGAGGGGCCGCGCCGCCGCCGCCAATCCGCGACCGGCACCGGCACCCCGGGACCCCGGTACCCCGGTGTCCTGGTACTGATGGCTCCGGTACCCCGGTACTCCCGGCACCCCGGTACTCATGGCACCGGCACACCGGCACTGCGGCTCCGGTACCCCGGTACTCCCGGTACCCGCTCTTCCAGTACCCCAGCTCCGGCACCCGGTACTCATGGCACCCCGATACTCCCCGCACCCCGCTACTCGCGGCTCCGGTACCCCGGCACCGACACTCCCGGCACGCCGGTACCCCGCTACTCGCGGCTCCGGTACCCCTGCACAGGCACCCCGATATTCCGGTACCCGCGGCTCCGGTACCCCGGCACCGGCACCCGGTACTCCCGGCATCCGCAGCCCCCGGCTCGCCCCGTACCCCCGGCACCGACACCCCCGGCCCGAGGGGCGACCGGGTCCGGGCCGGTGCTCTCGCCCTGGTCTCCACCGGGACCGGTCCCACGGTGCGATCACAGCCGTTCCCCGGCTCCCGGTGTCGCCTCCAGCCCCCCCAGCAGCTGATCCCCGTTATCCCGGCCAGGTGCCCGCACCCCCGGTTATCTCCCCGTTATCCCAGCCCCGAGTGCCCGGGGACGGGGGTGGCGGGGCTGGGTGACACCGGAGAGCCCTGGGGGTGTCCCCGCTCATGGGGACGGCCGGGGCAGTGTGTGGCCTCGGACAGGGGTCAGGGCTCTGGGGTCCCTCACAGGGGAGGAACAGCCGCGCCCTTTCAGGCGTGAACCTTCCAGCCCCGCTCCGCTGAGCTCCAGCACGGCGGGGAGGTGACCACGACCAGAGACCCCCCCAAAGCCTCATCTCAAAATCACACCGGCACAGCCCCTCCGAGAGCGCCCTGCCTGCAGCTCCATCACCGTCCCTCCTGTTTTCCTCTTCCCTGGTTTACTGCTCCAGGACATTTCCATAGAAACAGCATCCTGGCTCCTCCGCAGTCCGGTTTCCAATAACTACAAACGGCGGCGGTGCCAGGGCAGCGGCCACGGCACGGCCCCGTCTGTTCCCGCTGCACCGGGGCTCCATCCCGGCAGGGACACCCCCGGCAGCCCCCAGAGCTGGGCTGCATCCTCTGCCTCAGAGCTTTGCATCCTCGGTGGCTCTGGTGACAGCAGGGACATCATCCCCATGGTTCCCTGTAGGAGCGTCAGGGGGTGGCATGGTCGGGATGGACGGAGATGAGAGATCTCTGCAGCCAGGTCAGGAACTTGGGGTTTATTGCAAAGGGCCTGGGTGCAGGGCCCTGCTGGGAGCTGCCAGCCACAGCTCAGAGCAGGCCCGAGAGAAAAGAGGGGGAGAGAGGATGAGAGTGTAAGAGAGTAAAAGGGTAAGAGGGCAAGAGAGTGAGGTTCCTGTTACAATACACTAAATCTTCTTCTGTGTTGAATATTCTGATTCTCACTAACCAGTCTAGTACAATATACAAATCCTATAGCATTTCCATACAGCCTATAAGAATCATTACATTACCATACTGTGTTACATTTTAAACCCTAAAAACTCCTCTTTGGGCCCCTTCTGCCAAGCTGTAGGGTCTGCTCTGACCCTTGGGCCTGTCTGCAAGCAGAGGGTGTTGTTCCATCAAAAGGGGATTACCTTCACCTGGCCACACCATTGTTCACTAACTGAGGTATCTCAAAGCTTGCTTTCATTTCAATCTCGCTTATAGTTTCTATATTCTCAAAATCTTTTGACAGGCAATCATATTTATAAGGCTTTCCTGTTTCACCCTCCCCAGCAGTTCCCTGCACTGCCCAGTCTGGCAGGAGAACAGGAGGGAGCTCCAGCCTCGGGATTAATCCAAATTTTGTCCCTTCTGTGCCTTCCAGCGGCCAGGAGGAAGCCTGGGCTGTACCTGTATTTCCGTGTCCTCTGTTTGCTTTTTGCTGTTTATTTGCTTGTTAAACACCCATTTAGCACAAATGTAACTCGGAGGAATGTGATTGCTGGACCAGATGGGTCCCAGAATCTTTGGGAGAAAATCTGAAAAAAAGCACAGGGACAAGCTCCCCCCAAGCCTTGCTGGCTCCTTTTCCTTGGAAAATTCTGCCTCTCCCCAGATTAAGGCCAGGTGGGAGATGATTGGCCCCTGTTTTCTGGAGCTTGGAGAGCTTAAATGAGAGCACGTTGATCTACACTTAATGTGATTAAGTTACATCTCCGAGTATCATGCTAATTAAATTAAACTCCCCACTGCTGCCTCTGAGGCTTAAGCACGATAGCTGTTTTAAGACCACAATTCACTCCCCTGCATGGCTGAGCAGGTGGGATAAAAGCATTCTGCTAATCAAGTCATCCCGGTGTTTAGAAACAACTTCCAAAGCAAGGGATATTCAAATTTAAATCTGATTGGAGCTGGATTTAAACTCTGCATTTTGAGTCTGGAGTGACTTGTGCTTTTAATGAGGAAAATAACAGGGAAAAAGCAGAAGTAAGAGGGTGAGGCAGTACAGAGACTGTCTGACCACAATGTCTCAGGTGTAGAAACAGGATATAGAGAAGGAATTGCTCCCTGTGAGTGGTGAGGCCTTGGTATAGGATGCCCAGAGAAGCTGTGGCTGCTCCATCCCTGGAAGTGCCCAGTTTGGACAATTTTGGAGCAGCTGGGACAGCGCGAGTTGTCCCTGCCATGGCAGGGGTGTCCCTGGCTGCTCTTTAAGGTCCCTTCCAACCCAAACCATTCCATGACCTCCCCAGGACCCCTCTCCCCTGCCCTCCTCCCGTGTCCAGCAGCTCTTTCCACCTTGCAGCTCCCAAAAGCAGCGGAGATGTCAGAGCTCTCGGGTGATGGATCTGACAGCGCTGCCCCGCCGGGGGAGCACCGGCAGCGTTCACGGCTCATTCCCCAGCCAGCCCGGGGGCTCTGCCAGCCGTGCAGGCACCGAACCGACGGCTCTGCCCAGCCCCGGGCTGGAGAGGAGCATCCACCGTGCTGGGGCCGTGCCTGAGCACGGCGAGATCCCGGAGAGCGGCAGCGTGAGCATCCCTGCGCTGCACACCCGGCACGGCTCCGGCTACGGGAATAGCTCCGGCCGCAGACATCCCTGCAGGCCCAGCTCTGCCCCACCGAGCGGGATTTAATAGCTTGGTGTGAGGGACACGAGAGACTTTTTATGAGGAAAAAGCTTCAGAGTTTGAAGAGCCGCTGCTCCGCACTGGGGAAGGGGTGCCTGTGCGGTGTTCGAAGGATGCTGGGGCTGTCCCTGCTTCCCACAGAGCCCTGGCAGTGCCTGAGCCCGTCTGCTGAGCCCTCCTGAGCAGGGGCAGGGTGTGGGCACGGGGGGATCTCCCACCTGTCCCACCGAGCCATTCCATGTTAATCCACCCGGAGAAAAGAAGGGCCAGCAGCAGAGAAGGAGCTAATTGTGGTGGTGTTTACAGGGGTCTGGATGAGGGAAGAGATGAGGATCTGACTCCATGTTTTAGAAAGCTGATTTATTATTTTATGATATATATTAAAATGATATATTAAAAATATACTAAAAGAATAGAAGAAAGGATTTCATCAGAAGGCTAGCAAAGAATAGAAAAAGAATAATAACAAAAGCTCCTGACTTTCAGAAAATCTAAGCCAGCTCACTGTGATTGGCCATTAATTAGAAACAACCACATGAGACCAATCACAGATCCACCTGTTGCATTCTACAGCAGCAAATAATTATTGTTTACATTTTGTTCTTGAAGCTTCTCAGCTTTAAGAGAAAAAATCTTGAAGAAAAGATTTTTCATAAAACATATCTGTAACAAAACAATTCCACGATTGTGCGATTCCATCCTACGACAGCCAAAGCCGCCAGGGCCAGACACAAACAAAACGAAACAAAAAATAAAAAACCACAAATGTGCTTTTAACTGGAGGTTTCTGACTGGTCCCCGTGTGTGTGCCTGGGGGATTAACAGTGTCCAGAGGCTTCCCTGTGCCGGGCAGCTGCGTCACGATGTCACCGTCGTCACAGCAACCCGCTCACCACGGCCCTGGAGCCGCAGCTCCGGCCCCATCTCTCCTGGAGCTGCTTTTAATTAAAGCTGGGAAAGGCTGGGAAAGGCCCCCAGAGCCCCGGGAGAACCCGGTGACCCCAGGTCTGTGCAGGCCCTGCAATGAATTTTGCTGTGGAACTGTCACAGGGCAGAGCGGTGGCTTTGGGGACCCTGCCATCCCATCCTGTGAAAGTTATTTCATTTTCGTGTGGCTTTTTCCCCAGCAATTCACACCCCAGAGAGACCTGTCGAGCCCAGATGGATGAGATGACCTTTAAAGGTCCCTCCCATCCCAAACCACCCCACGATTCCCGAATTTCCCCTGCCAGCATCCATGTCACCTCCTTAGCAAAACACACCGTGGAGAGAGAAATAAGGATCTGTCAGGAGGAAACACAGTCCCGTTTTACCACCTCAGCCCCAAAAACTGAGCTGGAATCCCCTCCCCTGGGTGGCACCCACGGGGTGATGCTTATTCACACAAGGTGAGGTGGTGCTGGTCCCTGCAGGGTTGGGCTGGTCCCTATAGGATAATGCCGGTCCCTGCAGGGTCCCCATGAGGTGATGCTGGTCCCTGCAGGGTCAGGCTGGTCTCTGTGGGATTTTCCAGTTCCTGCAGGGTCAGGCTGGTCCCCATGGGATAATGTCGGTCTGCAGGGTCAGGCTGGTCCCTGCAGGGTCTCCATGAGGTGATGCTGGTCCCTGCAGGATCAGGCTGGTCTCTGTGGGATTTTCCAGTTCCTGCAGGGTCAGGCTGGTCCCCATGGGAAAATGTCGGTCTGCAGGGTCAGGCTGGTCCCTGTGGGATGATGCTTGTCCCTGCAGGGTGCCCCATGAGGTGATGCTGGTCTCTGTTGGGTCAGGCTGGTCCCCATGGGATAATGTCGGTCCCTGCAGGGTCAGGCTGGTCTCTATGGGATGATGCTGGTCTCTGCAGGGTCAG